ACCGCCACCCTGTGTGACCAATAGGGACCATGAGGACCTTGCTCAGAAGCAGACAGCCACTCTAGAGCAAGTCTCAGATAGACTCTAGCCCCTTATGCAGAGAGTGCCCCACACAGAGCACCCACATCCAAATCCTCACCCTATTTCCCGCCCTCTGTGTGGAGCCCTGGACCTGGAGACATTCTCCACTCAATCAAAGCTGCTGTTGGCAGTGAGTGAGTCAGGGACTTGAGAGAGGAGCATGCCTTCCCCACCTGCTAAGGATGGGGGATGGGAGAGGGGGGCAGCATCCTCCAGGTCTGGACAGATCCAAGGCTGGCAGCTGTATCGACTTTCTTCAATATGCTGCCAGAGAGCCCTCCCTCCCCCATACACCCCGACTTGGTGCCTCACCCTAATTACTCCCACACACCCCTCTCTAGTATCCTGGGGGTGCCAGCATTCGCCAGGCCCTCCATTCCCTTACCCTTGAGGCATGATCTGAGAGAAAGCAAAACGGCTTTGGAGTCCCTACAACACACAAAATGAGCCCCGGAGCACGGAAGGTAGGCACTCCAAACAGTGGCAACTCCTCAGCGTCTAAGAAGGGCACAAAGGGCCAAAGGGCCCTGACCTGGGCCTGGCAAACCCAGTGGACTTTGCTCTGAGGCCTCCACCCTCTCCTGAGCCTCACACAATTCAGCACCGTCTGTAAAATACCCTCCACCCTCCAGCAGGCAGTGTCACCCCTGGATGCCTGGGGCCTGGTGCTTATAATTCCCTTGCCTCCTGTGGCACCATCCAGCTCTCCTGGACTTCCCTGGAAAACCTTCCAATTGTACCCTATAAAAGCCATTCTCTTCTGACTCGACCAAGACTCTTGCGACCCAGGCATCCCCAGAATGTATCCCACTTTTCCTGGAGCCTTTCCAGCTCCCGCTCCCCACCCACCCACCGTCCTTGTGATCTTCGCCCCATCCAGCACTCCCTCGCTTCTAGGACTCCCATCCCAGCCATACACTTTTCATAGTGTCTGCAAAATAGCAGCTTCTCACACCTGATCAATCGCTTCAAAAGCACCCTTGGCTGGCCTCCTCCAGAATTCCCACTTGCCCTCCCCTTCTCCCCCTACCCTGCTCTCCCGGGGACCCTCACCCCCGCAATCCTCCAGGACTCAGCCCACAATACACTTCTGATCGTCTATCACAACAATTCTCTTTTCCCTCGCATTCTCTGGCTCCTGGAACGCCTTTCTTTTGGAACCCGCCAAGAACGCCCCTAAATTACCTCTAACATTCTTCCAGATCTCGGGGAACCCCACTCACCCATCAGTAATTCCACTTCGCTCCCAGAACTACCCTAGTTCTGCTTCCCCCAGATAATTTCACTTCTCTCTAGAGCTCCCCCCGGTCCCCCGTCCCCTACAACTCCTCACTGCTCCCCATGTCCCCGCCAGTACCCCATTTCTACGCCCCAGGACACCCCTACCCTCACCTGCTCTGCACCGCACAGCTCTGCTCTCGCAGCCACACAATAGGGGGCGGACCCGCCTCCCCGCCTCAGATGCCCCGAGCGCCTCCCGTCGCCCTGGAGACCGCCAATCCCCCTCCCGCGGCGTCCAATTGGAGCCAACAGAGGCCGGGCAAGGCGGGCGGGACGCCCGAGCCGCCTGGGAGTTGTAGTTTAGAGACAGAAGGACGCGGTCACACGTGGGCTCCAGTCGCCCTCTCGTGGAGCGCTGTACAACTAAGCGTGGGAAGGCTGATCGCCGCTTCCCGCCTCGAGTCGGATGGGCTACTGGGTCAGACCGACCGGTGCACCAAGAGCCGCAGGAGCCTACCGTCTTCGCTGGCTGTTTGCATGCCCTCCTTCCTTTATAGCTTACCTATGGCCTTCTCCCCTTTCCGAACAAGCGTGCCACAAAGGAAGCATCGAAGGTTGAAATCGGAGCCTGGGGCAGGAGCACCTGGTGGAGAGCAGGATTCCCCGCCCCCTCCCTGGGGATCCACCCAAGTGCGCGACCCATCTGATCTCTCTTTATCCCCACCCCCACCCATTTCCTCTCGCCGGACTGGAAATACCTGTCTGTATTGGCTAGCTCCCAGCTTTTGCCCGGGAGCCTCCCTGTGTGTAGCTTCCTGAAGACTGATCTAGTGTGGGGCTGCCGGGGCAGCTTCTGGCACCAAGGACCTAGAGAAATAAGCCCCGGGAGGGAAGAAATGACAGACACCCTAAAACGGAGATTGAAAAAGAAAGAATGAAATAACTTGCAGGGTGCAAGCCCTGGGGGTAGTTTCATGCTGTACTGTTATTCATTGCTCCTGTACTCTGCACTGAAATCCCGCGAAATGAGTGCAGCTCCTTCTGACTAGGGAGGAAGCAGCCAGTGGACCAGATGGAGGAACTTGCCCAAGAGTTACCACCTAGACACATTCAGGGTCTGCATTCAGATCCAGCCTGGATCACGGAACCCACCCTTGGACATTTCACCCACAGGAATGTAGTTAATGAAATCGGGGTCAGGAGCAGACCGTGGGGGAAAGATTGTAAGCACACCTGAATCACTGTCATGCCACCCCTGTGGCAGTCATCTGATCCCATTGCTGTAGCTGGCTATCCATCCTTAGTAAGTCCTGAGAACGGGAATATTCTTCCAGGTCTAAGTGACTGAGTGCTTTGAGCCACACAAAGAACCGGGACTAAGGGTAAGGAGGCTGGAGCAGAACCGTGATCTTTCCCACTACCCCAACAAGGACCTAGAACTCCTGACTTTGCAACTAGTTTGCATAGTAGGCTGCACTAACAGTTGGCAAGGTGACATGTTAGGGAACAGAGCATGAGGGAAGCCTCTGATTTCTTGGTTCCTTACCAATCCAAAGGCACTGGCCCCGCAGCTGGTTCAAGAGTTTTGTTTCTGCTGTCTGTGGTGGTTTCTGGTAGATAAACTAATCTCATGCGGATGTTAAAATAATTTTATTTTGTAAAATGAGATTTTAAATGGTTTTCAAGTTTTAAAAGTTTATATGTTCATGCTTTTCCCCGAAAGCTTGGTTTTTAAAAATTATTATTGTCATTTTTGTCTGATTGGTACATCTTTGTTTTGTTTTTGCAAGAAAGGGAATCTAGTCCTATGACCTGTTCCCTCCTTACTCCTGAAGTGAAGTTGATTTTTTAAGATAGTAATCCCTAAAGGTCAAAACTAAAGATTTCCCTCCTGCTTGTCCTTGAGCCACTGCTCCTCTGGAAAAATGTATTCAGCCAACCAGGACGGCATCTAATATATCAGCCAGCTCGTGTACTTCAATTTCTGGATGAGAATATCAGAGAATAGTGAACCTGGGAAGCCTGTTGGTAATGTGTTCATGAGCTCTGGTCCTCTCACCTTTTAGAACATGTTTTCTTACACACTCCAGTGTCACAGTGTGTGGTATGGCAATCCCTAGTTTCTATGATCCTTCACATATGAGCATCTTGGTGTGTTTTTTCTGTCTGACTTGAATGTCCATTCCCCAGTTTGCATTAACCTACCTCAAATAATAAGTAAGAACATCTTACATGCTACCAGACAGCTCTCCTGGCTTCTGAGGGTACACTCTCTTCAAAGCTAAGCCTTCCTTCTCCAAGCTGTTTTGGCTTTCTCTATTCAGAGACTGGCTCTGAGAATAAGGGACTCTGCCAACTCCAGGGAGATCCCTGGACCAGCCACACAGCGACTAGTCATTTCTCCTTTTGCTTTCTGTTTGCCAGCTCCTAAAGACAAGAGAAAGGGCTGTCCCTCTGCGTGAAAAAAAAAATGACTCCAGGTAGTTTGCACAGGCAGACCCTCACCTGATGATAGTGACACCTCCTATGACAGGCATGGGAAGTGTCAGAAGTTGGGGCTACAGACCTTTGTTGAAGACAGGGGTGTTCAGTACCGAAAGGCCGCCCAGAATCTCTGTAAGAGCTCCAAGAAGCTACACCTATGTCTTTCTTTCAAGCATGTATTCTTTGTGGAACTGAACTCAGGCTCATTGGCCAAAGGAAAGTGGATTAGCAAAACCTAGGTCTTCTAAGATCTCACCCAGCCCTGTCCTTGGTGCATACTATTTCACCCCCACCAATTCATTTATTACCTACACCTGTCCTACCGAGTGGCTCCTCCCCTGAAGCCTAGCAGTTGCCTAAGTAAAATACCCATGATCTAATTTGGGGGAAATGGTATGGTAGGAACATCAAACCCAGGGCTATGGAAAGAGCAAGAGTAAAGAGCTCTACATTGACCCAAAATTCCAATCAGAAGGCCCCAAACAGAAATCTATAAGAAAACAACAGTACGGCCAACAAAATCAGCTTATACAGGACTTCTTTGTGTAACCCTTGACTGTCCTGAAACTTGATTTGTAGATCAAGCTGGCCTCAAACTCAGAGATCCACCTGCCTGTGCCTCCCAAGTGCTGGGATTAAAGGCGTGCGCCACCACACCTGGCTAAATAATGTCAACTTTAAACAAAACCAAGGGTACAGGATCTTAGTAATTGATCCAGTGAGTTGTCACTCCTACCAAGTGAGCAACAGGGCTCAGAGCAGCTGGTATCAGGGAGACAACAGAGGTCACTAAGCTCGACTATATCCCAGAGAAGGACTGAGCAGGGGCCTCTGCCACCTCCTTGTGGACAGCTCCTTGTAGACTTGGTACAGTGGGTAGATGAGTTTAGTAAAATTATCTGTCAGAATGAGGATAGGGATAGAGGAACGAGGTGGTTTGGGCATAACACTTATGCAGAATTCTAAATGAACTGCTGTCACAAGTTCAGTGAGGTGAGAAAACCTTTTGTGTAGTTTAGAGAATTATAAAACTTAAGTTAGTGAAGAATGGGATGCTTGTAGTAAAACAAACACTTCACTCTAACGGGGTCTTCAGACTCAGTTTCCTGCCCAAAGGCAAGCCTGAGAAGGGTCATGGGCTTCAGTAAAGACACCTGGGCAGGTAGTGTCCCCGGGGTTGCCCAGCACAGACAGCACTCTTGATAGCACAGCTCTTCCAGAGAGGTGAGGACTTGACTTTATTGCCATATGGTGTCTCTCGGGTGTCCAACCCTGACCCTCCCTCCCACCTGTCCCCTAGATGATTTCCCTGGAGGCTAAGAGGAAACAAAGCTCATGACAGAGGTTCCCAAGGGGCGATCAGACTGGACTAGGGCCAGGGCTCCCCTTCTTCCTCAGTTGGATTCGGTTTCTCTTGAGTTTCCTCACCCTTGACAGCTCACGGTTTTTCCGGGTTTGGAAGACACAGAGGACCACAGCTAGAATTACCAAGAGGAAAAGAAGGATCAAGCCCTTAGCCAGGAGGCAGGACATTGAAGGCTTCTCAGGAGAGCCAAGATCTGGGATGGGAAGAAGGAAAAAGAGCTCATTAGAAGAACTGTAAGTTTAGAGGGCATACATCTACCTAAAGTGCCACAGGGAGGCTTGTGGGTTAATAATAAGCTCGTGTCTTATAGCAAATATCTCTAGAAAAATCTACTCTGTGCACAGATGCTCAAGAACGGATGTCTCAAGAACGGTTATCTGGCCATCAGTCTCAAGCCAAGTGCAAAAGAATTCTTTGGAAATCCAGAGCAATTGACAAAGGGAGGTCCCTCTCTGATCCAGTAGCGACCCTCTACAGGAGAGTGTTACTTTCTAGAGTCCACATACTCTCCTTAAGAGCCCCAGGCATGGGAGGAGGTTCAGGACTTACACAAGCTCAGAAATTGTTTCTTGGGTTCTGGTACCTGCACAGAAGGACCCAACAGAAATGAGACGGGAACTGCTGTTGCTGACGGGGTTGCTGGCCCTACAAGTATAGGAAAGGGCTCTGTCACCAGGCCTCCAGGATGTACTGATGACAGAGTCTTCATGAGACACGTTAGTGCTGTCCTGTGATGAAAGCCAGGTGTAGGTCACATCCATGCCTGCTCTCTCTATGGAGCACATCAGAGATATGTTACAGGCACCTTCCTCGGAGATCTTAAGGCTCACAGTGATGTGGGGCTTTGACAGCCTCCCTAAAAGAGAAAAACACAACAAAACAAAGACAAAGACCTGGTGAACGTTCTGAAGTCGGGTCTGTTTTCCTAAGTTTCTCAAGCCTTGGGTATTCTTGCTGTCTTGAGATAAAACAAGCATATAGCTTGTTGCTTCTGGGTCCCAGAGAACCTGCTTAGACACATGTACACCAGTGGCTCCGTCTAACTTTGCCCTCTTTGTTTTATACCCCTCCTTCCTCCGGGTACAAAATAGTACTGCCCTCCCAAAGACATCTTCATTTTAATCATCTCTCCAAGCTCCTAGGTAGATACAGTGTGGCAGGTGGAGAGGAGAAATGTTGGTTCAAGTGGGGAAGAAATTATTAGCAACCCTCAAATCACACAGGGGTATAAAGGGCTCAAGGGCTGCTTCTCTAGAGGATGCACAGTCTCCTGGGTAGGAAAGGGCTCTTAGATGCTCTATGCATGGTCCTCATCTCTCTCACCGCTCTGGGAACATCTGTGAAACAGCCTCAGTGCCTAATGACTCCTTGTTCTAGCTCGCTCTCCCTGTGGCTGAAGATCAGACACTGGGACAAAGCACACTAGAGGTAATCTTCCTTCCAGTTTCAGCCTCTTAAAACGTCCCCCAGCTCCTGAGCTTCCATGCCAACCTTGGGAAAGTCAGGATAATGGGAGTCTAAACTCACGGTAGACACGGAGATCGTAAGACTTCGTAATAAAGAGCTGGGATGTATTCAAGCTGACTTTGGCTTGGTAAAGTCCCGAGTCCTCCCAGGTCAGATTGCTGATAGACAGAGAGTAGCTGGACTCTGAGATGCCCACTCGACCCCGGTATCGAGGATCCATCGTAAGCATGACAGTTGATTTTCCCTCTTTCCTTGGCACCACTGTGACTAGGTTTTTTTGAAAGAACCAGATGATGTCCTTAACCTCTTCATCGGATGGTATTTCCAGAGAGAGGCTGATAGATTCTTGAAGAGCTGCAACCACTTCCTCAGGGTCTTCATCATCTCCAGAAAACCCTTTAGCTGAAAAGAGATGCATATAGCCCAGCTGATATCTCTGGGAAGCCAAAGCTAGTTAGCATGGTAGCTATGGCTCCTCCTCCTCCTCTGAACACCTTCTCTAACTCCAGGCTCAGTGGAACCCTCTAGCTACCTCTTGGGATTCCAGATTGCCATTGAACCCCAGTTGACAAGGGATGGTTCCCATTTGTCTCTTCACTATCCAAAAACTTCCTTTTTTCCTTGTCCTTCTGGAACTGCAGCCCCACCCATGTCCCCCAGGTATCCTCCTCTCTCATTCTCCACTGGGGTCATACCCCATTCCTTGACAATCAGAATGGAAGTTCCTCCACACTAGCCTGGGATCCAGCTATATCACTCCTGGGAGTTTACTCGGCACAATCCAAGTAAACACACTACAGTGACCCGTGCACATCCATGTTTATTGCAGAGCGAGTCACAATAGCCAAGCTGTAGAATGAGCCTCGGTGCCCATCAACAGAAGGATGGACACATTCATCCCTAAAGGAAGGGTTTTGCTAGCCTAAGACCAAGCAGAGTGGGGGGCTATACAGAGATAGTCTTTTGCAGCAACAGGCAGCCACTCACCTTCCTGAAGGAGCAGAAGGAGTGACCAGAGAAGGGCCCCCATATCAGCAGCTCTTGCTTGGAAAGAGTGACTTGGTCAGTTCCCAAGGCTGTGGACACACAAGCCGGTTCCTATAGGAAGAATGACTGATTGATATTGACAGGAAGCAGACGGGGAAATACTTCTCACTCCGACTTCCTCTGTCCCCATTAAGCCCCTCCCTGGCCCTCATGAAAAGACATTTCTCCCCAGACGAAGAGTCAGATGATTTATCCACAAACTCAGGTTGCCCATCCCCCCAAACTCAGTTCAAATCTCACTTCCCCAGCGCTCTGTATATGATCCCATAGAAATCACATATGCACACCCTAGCTGGCTGTCAGCCCTCGGCACGCTCTCCCACCACCTCTGTTTCCTGTGTTGCTGTGGTCTTGATCTCCTCTCAGAGTTTATTTTCTATTTCCTCTGTGTGTTCCATTGTTCCTGGCCCCTGTTGAATGTAGAATGAGCTGCATGTAGAATGAATGTTCACAGCATTAGAATGGATGAGTGAGGGAAGTCTTTCTTTCTGTTTAAAGCTATTTGCTTTCCAATTTGTGATGCTATTTGGGGATCCCTTAATCTCTTTTTTTAAGAAACTGTCACCAGGCAGTGGTGGCACATGCCTTTAATCCCAGCACTCGGGAGGCAGAGGCAGGTAGACCTCTATGAGTTCGAGGCCAGCCTGGTCTAAAGAGCGAGTTCCAGGACAAGGCTCCAAAAGCTACAGACAAACCCTGTCCTAAAAAAAAAAGAAAGAAAGAAACTGACTTCCATCCACCTTTCTTTTTTGCTCAAGTGTCTGCAGAACACAGTTTATGACTGCTTAGCGGTGGTTCCATCTGATTCAGCACCCTGCACAGGGAGGGCTGCAGACTAGTCCCCAGTAACTGTCTGGACTTTCCAGTTTTCACTGCGGAACTGCTGGATGAGTACAGAGGACACCTGCACCCTCTCAGACCAGTCTGCCACCTCCATCTGGGAGACTCAGAAGCAGGTGCAGTCTGTTCACCCTGACATTCCTTCTTGGTCACAGCCTTTTTAACTGCACTTGCTTCTCCTTTTCAATCTCTTAGGATTTCTACAGAAATAGAGAGCGGGCATGACCAGATGAGCCCATTGATGCTCACCGGAGGTGGTGCCACACATGTGCAGAACCTCCCAAGCCAACATCCACCAGCATTCACTGAGTGAGCACGCTTGTCCGTTGCTTGAGATGGCAATGTCAACAGCACAGCAAAGGTAGGCAGGTTGACTTAAGGCACCCTTGTGAGGGGCTGGTGGGCAGCTCTGGGATCGGTCACCATCAGAAGACATCACTCTCTGTCTTAGATCTGCCTAGTGAAAGTCCTAGGAGTGACGTGGCCAGCACCTGGAGTGGCTCCAGGGGCGGGGCCAGCAAACTTTAGCAGAGCTGGCTGGCCCCAGGGGTTCCTGGAGGAGATGTCAAGGAGATGAGGCTGACATGGGGGGGGGGGGAGGGGATCTCAGTGGCAATGATGGCTGGAGCTGTCAGCAGCAGCTTCTCCTAGGTCCTCCTCAGATTTTTTTTTATGTGAATACCATCACTTTGCCTTTTGCAGATGTACTGTTCCGTCTCAAGGTCAAGGTTGGTTCCACCTGAGTGGGTTCCTACTGCAAGGGATTTGAGGACATCCTCCTTCCCCACTTGCAGGAAAAGGGCTTCAGACACCATGTGAGTTTCCCTTTAAATTGTAATGTGAACTGAGGGCAACGTCATATAGACCCCTGCTAGGCGGCATGGGAGGGCTTATTCTCTTTTAAAATACTGTCTCAGGCTGGCATAGTGGTACACACCTTTTAATGCCAGCACTCAGAAGGCAGAGGCAGGGGGATTGCTCTGAGTTCCAGGCCACCCTGGTCTATATAGTGAGTTCCAGGCAAGCCAGAGCTACCTAATAAGACCCCCCATCTCAAAAAAGAAAATAATAACAATAGTTTTTGAAAGAGTTCAGTTAGTCATTAATATCATAGAAAGATTTTAAATAATTCAGATTATCAATCTTGGTCAAAGACATAGAGAAAATCCGATCTGAGAAGAGATTGTAGATAACCAAAGTAAGAAAAGCATACCCAGGAAAAAGGAACCCCCACCCCCATGTGCACTCTGGCAGTGTGATGGATGGTTAGCTTTACATGTCTACTTGACACAACTTAGAATCACTTAGGAAAGGAGTCTCAATGAGGGGCAGTCTACACTGAGTTAGCCTGTGGTTTTGTCTCTGGGGTTGACTGATGTGGGAAGATCCAGCCCCCCCGTAGGCAGAACTATTCCCTAGGCAGGGATTCTGAACTGTGTGAGAGATGAGCATAAGCAAAGAATCAAGCATGAGTGTGTTCCTTTCTCTCTGCTCTTGTTAATCAGCAGTAACTAATTAACTCCAGCTCTGATACTGCTTTCCCTGCTTTGATTGACTGCAACCTGGAATCATGAGCCAAAATAAACAGTTTTCCTCTAGGTTGTTTTTTAGGGTAGTTTATCACAATAACAGAAATGAAACCATATGTAGAACTGAAACTAGTAGAAATGTAAACTAATTGGGTCACTATGGAAATCAGTTATGGAAGTTCTTTTTTAAAACTAAAAACAGAACTATCATATGATATAGATATACCATTCCTGGGTAATATACTCAAGAGAATCTAAGTCAGTATACTGCAGTGATCCTGCACATTCAAGTTTACTGCAACGGTATTCACAGTAGCTGTTATGGAATCAGCCTAAGTGCCCATCAACAGAGGAATGGATAAAGCAGATGTGATATGTACACACCATACATTTTATTCATCCATAAGTAATGAAGCTATGCCATTTGTAGAAAAGGAAGTGGAACCAGAAGTAATCATGCTAAACAAAATAAGCTGTGGGTTTGGTTTTTTTTTTCCTCATATGCAGAATCTAGATTTTTGAAAACATGAAACTGAAAGGAAGACTACTTAAGAATAGGAAAGAGAGACTGAATGGGGATGGGGGGGGCACAAGAAAAATACTAGAAAGTAAGTAAAATCAGAGTATTTTAGATGTATATATGAAAGCATTATAGGGATACCCATTATGTTGTTGAATATATACTAAGGAAAAGTTTAAAAATTTTTTTGAGCAGGAGAAGAGATGGCTCAGTCATTAAGAGCACATATTGTTCTTGCAAAGGACCCAAGTTTGATTCTCAGCCCCCACATCAGGCAGCTCACAACTGCCTGTAACTCCAGCCTCAAGAGATCTGATACCCCTCTGACTTCCTTCTTCAACACACACACACACACACACACATGCACACAGGCACATGCAGACACTATAATTGAAATTTTAAAAATAGTTAAATAGAAAGAAGGAAAGAAAAGATAAACTTTGGCGGTAGGGATGCAATGGGTTATATTGGTGAGCTTTCATTCCCTATATTCAAGCTAAGACTGGACAGTCACTGGTTCAGATGGTCTACAGCATCTCTGACACCAGATGGATCCTCAAACTAGATAGCCTTTAAATTTCTACCAGTGCTCAATTCAACAATTCCTATGCTATTACAAGGAAGCAAAAATGGTATTTCATGACTATCTTAGTTTGGTTTTTTATTGCTGTGAAGAGACACCATGATCATGGCAACTCTTATAAAGGAAACATTTAATTAGGGTGGCTCGCTTACAGTTTAAAAAATTCAGTCCTTTATCATCATAACAGGGAGCATGGCAGCATACAGATATGGTGCTGGCTACATCTTGATCAAAAGGCAACAGGAAGCCAACTGAGACCCTGGGCAGTATCCTGAGCATAGGAAACCACAAAGCCCACCCTCCCAGTGACATCCTCCAACAAGGCCATATCCACTCCAACAAAGCCCCACCTCCTAATAGTGCCACTCCCTATGAGTTAGGGGGGCAAATTATATTCAAACTACCACAATGATCAAAAAAGAAAGAATGAAAAAGAAAATGAAAGAGCCTCCAACAAAGATTAAGGAAAAACTCTCAAAGAGAAAAGATAACGAGGATAAGATCTCAAGGATGAGAAAGATCTGCTAAGTGAAGGGGGGAAAATGCTAGTTTTTGTGCTTCAAATTATGAGTACCAAGCCTCTTTGATTTGGATTGTCTATAAATACAGGTCAGGTTTTGACTTGAGCCTGAAAGTTTTTTAAAACCAGTCTATTTGAAAAGAAATTAGACCTAGCAATTCCAACTACCTGATCTGTATCCAAAGGAAATGAAATCAATATGGTGACAATCTATCTGCAGTCCCAACGTGTATTGGAGCATTAGTCCCAATAGCCAAGAGAAGGAAACAACCCAAGTACCCATCAGTGGAGGAATGGATAAAGCAGATGTGGTGCACACACGTGATAGGATACTATTTGACCTTAAAAATAGAAAGAAACCCCATCTGCATCAACAGAGATGAACCAGAATGTGCTGTGCTAAGTGGAACAAGGCAGCCACAGAAAGTCAAATGCCACATGAGCTCACATGTAGGATCTTTAAAAACTGAACCCATAGAAGTAGACAGTAGAGTAGCTGTTTCCAGGGATTGGGACTCAGGTCAGATAGGGAGACAGTGGTCATAGGACACAAAGTTTCAGATGGACACAAGGAATAAATTCTACAGATCTACTATACAACATGGTAATTACAGTTACTTGCACATACAGTTAATATATAGTATTCTCAGAAATAGCTGATAACAGATTTTGTATTCGTAGTACAGAAAATTATTTGAGGCAGTTAATAATGTGTTAGTGTGATTTGGCCATTCCACAATACACACACACACACACACACACACACACACACACACACACAAAGACAACAAGGTCATGGGTATAATGTTCAGAGTCTAAAGAGTGCAAGTGCTGGAGACGAGACTAAAGGAGGCTTCATGGGAGAGAAAATGCCTGTGAAAGACAGTGGAGGAGAAACCAAGACCAAATTGGGAGAGTATGGTACCATGATGTAGGGATCTCACTCTACTAGCTCAATAGGAGCTCTGGCTTAGTGTTGTCCAGTAGAGGATGCCTCTGTTAGGCAGAATTGCGCAAGAGTATCAGGTACCAATGCCCACCACGTGTGTAGTTTCTTGAGTGGGG